GATCTGACGGCCTTTGCTTGTGGAACTTCAGGCGATGCCTGAAGTCACATAAGTTGTACGAGGGCGCGCTTTTCTTGAGAGAGAGTAGGCTTCTGAGACCGACGCGGACTCAGTGAAAGAAGAAAGTGGCTCGGCAGGAGCCTAATGCTGATTCTATTTCGGACTTGCTGGTGGCGATGTTTCGCTACACTGAGGGCTCCACAGGCGGCGCCTTCGGACTTCCAGGAGGTACCTGAAGCCGGTGAAAATGCATGTTCTTGGGAGAGGTGGGCTTCGCGTCAGGCGCTGAGCTTCGGAAACAGCCACTGAGGCGGCCACCCACCCTGGAGGTGGGCCAGGTTGGACTGGACCCTTTGCCTGGTAAGCGGAGGCTTACCAATATCAAACCTTTTCTTTCGACCGTGCAGGCGGCACAAGCAAAAGCAGGCGTTGCATCAGCTGCTTAGGCAGCCACTACACAAGTGGGAGGGGCCAACGCCTGGGCAGAAGTCTGACATTCTTGTTGGGCTACGTTTTGACGACCACCCTCTGAGAGCTTCACAGCAGTCTTGGTTTCCGGAACTTCAGGACGTACCTAAGGCCGGCAAACTGCATTGTCGCTGGAGAGACAAACGTCACGTCAGCCGGCGGTGTTTCACAACCTTTTGAAGCGTCGTGTCAGCTCTTGAGGTGGCCACGCGCCAAGGAGGTGTTGATGACGCCTTTGCAGGGAAACAAAGCTGCTTTTATATTTACATAAGTTTTCTGTGCAATCAGTCTCTGAGAACTTCACAGGCGTTGTCGAGACTTCGGGCTGTACCTGAAGCAGGCCAAGGTGCAATCGTTTGTGATGAAGCGTCGTGCTGGACGCTGAGGCGACCACGCGCCAAGGGGGTGTGCGAGCGTGTGCTTCTGGAGAAGCCGAGAGGGGCACCTCTGGTAACACCTACGACTGTGCCTGCGCATGCGCTTGTTGGCGAAACGGGATAGGGGGAAGGCCCAGGCAGAGCTCTTGGGCCAAGGCCATGGAGGCCACAGGCATCGGCAGAGGCTTGGCCATCTGCGCGCGTGTTTGTTGGCGAGACGGAGGGGGGAGGGCCCAGGCAAGGGTCGAGGCCCTGGCTACCGGCTTCCGTGGCAGAGGTCTAGGCTTGACCTCGCGAAGGTCCTAGCGCCTTTCGCTTCCTATGATGAGGATGCTAGTGTTTTCTTGACTCGAATCAGGATTTCAGGCTTAGGATCCAGCACGTTGGGACAGTAGCTGCGCCTTTCCCTTGAATTCTAAGCTTTCAGATTCCAGGGTTCAAGAGCTTTGGTCTAGTTTTCCTAGCTTCCAAGTTTCCCAGCACTACAGCGAATTACAGTCAAGTCAGATCTTGAAGTCATACTGTCTCGGACAAGATAATTTACTGCCTTGTGACTGCATGGCTGCTTGGGCAAGAGTTGTTACTGGAATGGCGTTTGGGAAGAAAGTCGGAGATGTGCTTTGAGCAGCTTCAAGCCTAAGCTCTCCTCTTGCTTGGATGTGGCCAAGTGCCAGAAAGCAGAAATGCAACGTTTTTCAAGTTTCAAATTCGTTTCCCTGGTTTCTAATTAGTTTCAAATTAGTTTCTAAATACTTTCAAAATCCAGTTACAAGATAGCCGTTAAGAGGAAACTACATTTTCTACGCGTAATTCCAATAAAACACAAATCTCAGAGGTTCCGGGCTTTCAAAAAGCGGAGCAGAAATTGCAGTTCCCTCTAAAAGCAGCGATCTTGCAACTGGATTTGAAATTAATTCGAAATTGGTGGGAAACCCTGGCCCCTCACACATGGTCCTCACGCACTGGAAGTTGACTTTCGTCAGCCGTGACTAGAGACCAGAGTCTGACCAAAGTTTCCGAAAGCCTGCCATGTCTCCAGACTGTTGTTACGCAGGTCATCCCCTCCAAACCCTGAATCTTAACATTGCTGTCCTTGCAATGCTTCGAAAGAGCATGTGTGTGTGTGAATGACCGAAACCCTGCATCATCCATACGCGCAGGCGACATTGAAATTCGAGGGTGTGGAGCTCGATTGCCAACCGTCGCACACGTGTAACGTAGGGGTTCATGCAAGATTTGCCGATCCACAGTCACAATGGCATCGGAAGAACAACTGCGCGTATGCATTCTGTCTTGACAGTCATCACATCTCGCTTTCCACCCAATGGACCGCTGAGATTCAAGCACACCAAACACAGATGCTGCGCTTGCTGCTTGTAAGAAACACAACTAGCCGACAGTTCCCTTTCCCCCTAATGAGCCGCTGTCGACAAGGTTGTTGAAAGCATTGTTTTGTTCTTGTTGTCTGTCTGCATTTTGCAGCTTCTTGCTACACCCCAAGTTTCTGTCGACCCGCCAGGTGTGAAGTCGGCCCCACATTTCGGATTGAGGGTTTTAGGTTTTGGGATCTTCACTCACTCACTCACTCACTCTCCCTCCCTTCCCCTCTCTTTCTCTCTCTCTCTCTCTCTCTCTCTCTCTCTCTCTCTCTCTCTCTCTCTCTCTCTCTCTCTCTCTCTCTCTCTCTCTCTCTCTCTCTCTCTCTCTCTCTCTCTCTCTCTCTCTCTCTCTCTCTCTCTCTCTCTCTCTCTCTCTCCCTTTGTCTGTTTCTGTATCCCTCTAGCTTACTCGTTCCCTGTTGTCGAGGAGACAGGAGCCCGGCAGCTGGCGTAGGTCTGCAGCTCACGACCTTATTTGTTGTTGCGCGTTACATGACGGCTGCGCATCTCACTTCCTTGAACTTTGAACCATAGACCCACGCCCGAAACCCTAACCCTAGACCATAAACCCTAAACCACAAGCCCAAAACCCTTAACCGCAGACCCTTAGACTACAACCCTAAACCCTACACGGCAGGCGCGGGCTTGCGCACTCCACGCTTGAGGATTAGAGGTTTTTGGGGTTGGGAGCTGTCTCTTCTTTCTTACTCTTTTTTGTTCGGCTGACGGGTGCCCGGCAGCTGACGTCGCCCCGTACGTCACGACCTCAGTTATTTTTTTTTTCTCTAATTCTCTCTCTTCCTCTCTTCCTCTCTTCCTCTCTTCCTCTCTTCCTCTCTTCCTCTCTTCCTCTCTTCCTCTCTTCCTCTCTTCCTCTCTTCCTCTCTCCCTTTCTTCCTCTCTTCCTCTCTGTCATTTTTGGGCGCCAGGCAGGCTGGGTCACCTGACACTTTTTGTCACGAACTTTAGATTGCACACTCTGCATTCGAAATTAACCCTAGGCCTTGGACCGTAAACCCTAAACCGCAAAAACCCTAACCGTAGACCATAAACCCTAAAACTTAAAGCCTAAACCACAAGCCCAAAACCTTCAACCGCAGACCCTTAGACCAAAACCCTAAACCCTACACGGCAGGTGCGGGCTTGCGCACTCCACGCTTGGGGATTAGAGATTTTAGGGTTTGCGAGCTGTCTTTTCTTTCTTACTCTTTCTTTTTTGTTCGGCCGACGGGTGCCCGACAGCTGACGTCGCCCCGTAGGTCACGACCTCAGTTATTGTTTTTTTCTTCAATTCTCTCTCTTCCTCTCTTCCTCTCTTCCTCTCTGTCATTTTTGGGCGCCAGGCAGGCTGGGTCACCTGACAGTTTTTGTCGCGAACTTTAGACTCTCTTTCTCTCTCTCTCTCTCTCTCTCTCTCTCTCTCTCTCTCTCTCTCTCTCTCTCTCTCTCTCTCTCTCTCTCTCTCTCTCTCTCTCTCTCTATCTCTCTCCCTCTCTGCCTCTCTTTCCTTCTCTCTTTCTCTTTCTCTCCCTCCCTTTTCTCCCTGTCACTTTTGAGCGCCAGGCAGGTTGAGTCGCCTGAGAGGCTGCTTGTTATTTTTCTTAAACTTTATCCTACATCCGAAACCTTCAACCCTAGACCGTAAGCCCTAAACCTTAAACCCTAGACCCCAGCCCCCCCTCTCAGGGCTGATGAATAGTGGGCCGGAGCCTCCTGATGGGTTCAGGGCCTTCTGGTTTAGGGTTGAGGGTGCAAGGCCTTATTCTTTCTGGAATAGGGGCTCGACTTCTAAGAGAGCTTGGCTTGGGGGCTGAGTCTTGGAGTCTAGAGAGTCTAGGACACAGAGTAGGAAACCTTAAACTGTGAACCCTGAGACTAAACCCTAAACCCTACACTTCAAATTGGCGCCCGGCCGTCCGGTCGAGAGCATCCGGCGCCTCATTCGTGTTTATTGCTTTTTTTTTCTTCTCTGTGGCTAAGCTAATTTTGATCTGAGCATCCCGCCCATCCCACGAAGCGACAAGTCGCCTGCAGTTCAGGTACAATTGTTGTGTTCGAACTTGCTTGCACGCTTTCCCGTATCCGCGCCAAGCTCCTGGCCCCCGTCCAGACCACACGCGGCCCTGCCAGCCCTGGACCTTTGGACCCCTGGACCCCTGGACCCTTGGACCCTTGAGCCTTGGAGCGTGGACGCTTGGACCCCTGCACCCCTGGACCCCTGGACTCTTGGACCCCTGGACCCTTGGACCCTTGCACGCTGGGACTCTTGGACCCTTGCACGCTAGGACGGACCCTTGGACCCCGAGACTCTTGGAGCCTTCCCTTGAAATCTTGGACCTTTCACCCTAAACCCTAAACCCTAAACCCTAAACCCTAAACCCTAAACCCTAAACCCTAAACCCTTAACCTTGACCCTTGGACCCTTGGACCCTTGGACCCTTGGACCCTTGGACCCTTGGACCCTTGAACCCTCGGACCCTTGCACGCTTGGACGCTGCGACCCTTGGCCTCAGACTCTTGGAGCCTTGGAGCGTGGACTCTTGTACCCCTGGACCTCTGGACCCTTGCCCGCTGTGACTCTGGGACCCTTGGACCCTGAGACTCTTGGAGCCTTGGAGTGTGGACCCTTGAATCTTGGACCTTTGAGGCCCTTTGGACCCCCTGGGACTCTCGACCCTGCATGCTCGGACACAGTGCTGTTGACGGTTATTTTTACGGTTTGCGCGGGCGCTCAAGGATGCAGACGTTCATCATTTTGCTTCAGATAAGGTATAACTTAGTTAACCCCATCATTCTGAGCTGATCGGAGGGCTTCGCCGCTCCACCGCTCAGCAGACTCCCTGTGGCTCGCTTTGCCTTTGGCCTGCCACCATGATCCGCGGCTTTGTCCCCAACCATTCCACCAAGTCGCCTCACGAGCTTTCTGGTCTTGTCGATCCCATTTCGCCTTTTCACGGATAGCTTTAGCCTTCAAAATGTCAGCTTCGGCACGTACACGCGCCAAGCGCACCCTCTCCAGTTCAATCTCCTGCAAGATGATGGCTTCGGACTTTGTCGGCACGTTCCCGGTCTTAGGCTCCGCGGTATCGGGGATAACACTCTCGGGCTTAGCGTCCGAGATACTTGACTTCTTGGCTGAAACCTGTGGCTTGGACTTCATGATGTTCTTCTTGGTGGCCAGAGCACGTGTGCTTTGTGGAGACGGCTTGCTCTTCTGAGAAGACGTAGCGCTCGTTGCTAATGCAATGATAGGTGTGTGTTCGCATTTGCAGCGGTCGCGTCGCACAAGGCACATCTTGCACTTGGAGTAAGGCATTGCTGCTAAAGCGGGAGTTTCAAAACAAATGCCTCGAGCGTTTCAGCGCGATCGCATGAAATTCCAACATGGTCTGCCTCCAGGCTACCCTAAAAATCTAGGCTACCAGCAAACACAAAACTCAAACCTAAGCATGCAGGCTATCCCAGCAAGTCCAGACTACCCTAAAAATGCTGGCTACCACCAAACAAAAACTCAACCCTAAGGATACAGGCCACCCTAAAAAAAAACAACCTACCTTAAGAATGATGGGGGATGATGGGGTGGGCCCCTCGAGGGGTCAAACAAGTAAGATGTTTTTTTTTTAAATTTAAAAAACCTTAAATTCCTTAAATTCCTAAATTAGGCATTTAGGAACTTAAGGTTTTTTTTAAAATTTAAAAAAGCCCTTTTTAAATTTTAAAAAACCTTAAATTCCTTAAATTCTTAAATTAGGTATTTAAGAATTTAAGGAATTTAAGGAATTTAAGGTTTTTTTAAAATTTACAAAAGGGCCGGCCGAATAATTTTATTTACCTAATTTAGGAATTTAAGGAATTTAGGGAATTTAAGGCTTCTTTAAATTTTAAAAAGTGCCTTTTTAAAATTTAAAAAAACCTTAAATTCCTCAAATTCTGAAATTGCGTAAATAAAATTGTGGGGCCGGCCCTTTTTAAAATTTTAAAAAAACCTTAAATTCCTTAAATTCCTTAAATTCCTAAATTAGCTATTTAGGAATTTAAGGAATTTAAGGATTTTTTAAATTTAAAAAAGGGCCTTTTTAAATTTTTTAAATTTTAAAAAGGGCCTTTTTAAATTTTAAAAAAACCTTAAATTCCTGAAATTCTGAAATTGCGTAAATAAAATTGTTGGGCCGGCCCTTTTTTAAATTTAAAAAAAACCTTAAATTCCTTAAATTCCTTAAATTTCTAAATTAGCGATTTAGGAATTTAAGGAATTTAAGGTTTTTTGAAAATTTAAAAAGGGCCTTTTTAAATTTTTTAAATTTTAAAAAGGACCTTTTTAAATTTTAAAAAAACCTTAAATTCTTTAAATTCTTAAATTAGGTATTTAAGAATTTAAGGAATTTAAGGAATTTAAGGTTTTTTTAAAATTTAAAAAAGGGCCGGTCGAATAATTTTATTTACTTAATTTAAGAATTTAAGGAATTTAAGGAATTTAAGTTTTTTTTGAATTTTCAAAAGGGCCTTTTTAAATTTTTTAAATTTTAAAAAGGGCCTTTTTAAATTTTAAAAAAACCTTAAATTCCTTAAATTCTGAAATTGCGTAAATAAAATGTTGGGCCGGCCCTTTTTTTAATTTTAAAAAAACCTTAAATTCCTTAAATTCCTTAAATTCCTTAAATTCCTAAATTAGCTATTTAGGAATTTAAGGAATTTAAGTTTTTTTTAAATTTTAAAAAGGGCCTTTTTAAATTTTTGAAATTTTAAAAAGGGCCCTTTTAAATTTTAAAAAAAACCTTAAATTCCTTAAATTCTTAAATTAGGTATTTAAGAATTTAAGGAATTTAAGGAATTTAAGGTTTTTTTAAAATTTAAAAAAGGGCCGGTCGAATAATTTTATTTACCTAATTTAGGAATTTAAGGAATTTAAGGAATTTAAGGAATTTAAGGTTTTTTTAAAAGGGCCTTTTAATTTGTTTAAATTTTAAAAAGGGCCTTTTTAAATTTTAAAAAACCTTAAACTCCTTAAATTCTGAAATTGCGTAAATAAAATTGTTGGGCCGGCCCTTTTTTAAATTTTAAAAAAACCTTAAATTCCTTAAATTCTTTAAATTCCTAAATTAGCTATTTAGGAATTTAAGGAATTTAAGGTTTTTTTAAATTTTAAAAAGGGCCTTTTTAAATTTTTTAAATTTTAAAAAGGGCCCTTTTAAATTTTAAAAAAACCTTAAATTCCTTAAATTCTTAAATTAGGTATTTAAGAATTTAAGGAATTTAAGGAATTTAAGGTTTTTTTAAAATTTAAAAAAGGGCCGGTCGAATAATTTTATTTACCTAATTTAGGAATTTAAGGAATTTATGGAATTTAAGGTTTTTTTAAATTTTAAAAAGGGCCTTTTTAAATTTTTTAAATTTTAAAAAGGGCCTTTTTAAATTTTTTAAATTTTAAAAAGGGCCTTTTTAAATTTTAAAAAGACCTTAAATTCCTTAAATTCTGAAATTGCGTAAATAAAATTGTTGGGCCGGCCCTTTTTTTAATTTTAAAAAAACCTTAAATTCCTTAAATTCCTTAAATTCCTAAATTAGCTATTTAGGAATTTAAGGAATTTAAGGTTTTTTTAAATTTTAAAAAGGGCCTTTTTAAATTTTTTAAACTTTAAAAAGGGCCTTTTTAAATTTTAAAAAAAACCTTAAATTCCTTAAATTCTGAAATTGCGTAAATAAAATTGTTGGGCCGGCCCTTTTTTAAATTTTAAAAAAACCTTAAATTCCTTAAATTCCTTAAATTCCTAAATTAGCTATTTAGGAATTTAAGGAATTTAAGGTTTTTTAAAATTTAAAAAGGGCCTTTTTAATTTTTTTAAATTTTAAAAAGGGCCTTTTTAAATTTTTAAAAAAAACCTTAAATTCCTTAAATTCTTAAATTAGGCATTTAAGAATTTAAGGAATTTAAGGAATTTAAGGTTTTTTTTAAAATTTAAAAAAGGGCCGGTCGAATAATTTTATTTACCTAATTTAGGAATTTAAGGAATTTAAGGAATTTAAGGTTTTTTTAAATTTTAAAAAAGGGCTTTTTAAATTTTTTAAATTTTAAAAAGGGCCTTTTAAATTTTTTAAATGTTAAAAAGGGCCTTTTTAAATTTTAAAAAAACCTTAAATTCCTTAAATTCTGAAATTGCGTAAATAAAACTGTTGGGCCGGCCCTTTTTTAAATTTAAAAAAACCTTAAATTCCTTAAATTCCTTAAATTCCTAAATTAGCTATTTAGGAATTTAAGGCCTTTTTAATTTTTTTTAAATTTTAAAAAGGGCCTTTTTAAATTTTAAAAAAACCTTAAATTCCTTAAATTCTGAAATTGCGTAAATAAAATTGTTGGGCCGGCCCTTTTTTAAATTTTAAAAAAACCTTAAATTCCTTAAATTCCTAAATTAGCTATTTAGGAATTTAAGGAATTTAAGGTTTTTTTAAAATTTAAAAAGGGCCTTTTTAATTTTTTTAAATTTTAAAAAGGGCCTTTTTAAATTTAAAAAAAACCTTAAATTCCTTAAATTCTTAAATTAGGTATTTAAGAATTTAAGGAATTTAAGGAATTTAAGGTTTTTTTAAAATTTAAAAAAAGGGCCGGTCGAATAATTTTATTTACCTAATTTAGGAATTTAAGGAATTTAAGGTTTTTTTAAATTTTAAAAAGGGCCTTTTTAAATTTTTTAAATTTTAAAAAGGGCCTTTTTAAATTTTAAAAAAACCTTAAATTCCTTAAATTCTGAAATTGCGTAAATAAAATTGTTGGGCCGGCCCTTTTTTAAATTTCAAAAAAAACCTTAAATTCCTTAAATTCCTTAAATTCCTAAATTCGCTATTTGGGAATTTAAGGAATTTAAGGTTATTTTAAATTTTAAAAAGGGCCTTTTTAAATTTTTTAAATTTTAAAAAGGGCCTTTTTAAATTTTAAAAAAACCTTAAATTCCTTAAATTCCTAAATTAGGTATTTAGGAATTTAAGGAATTCAAGGTTTTTTTAAAATTTAAAAAGGGCTTTTTAAAATTTTTAAAAAACCTTAAATTCCTTAAATTCTTAAATTAAGTATGTTGTGTGGTAGGCAGCAAGCCACGCGCCAAATAGTACATAAAGGTCCCTCGTACTTAGGGTTTAGGGTTTAGGGTTTAGGGTTTAGGGTTTAGGGTTTAGGGTTGGGGGTTGGGGGTTGGGGGTTGGGGGTTGGGGGTTGGGGGTTGGGGGTTGGGGGTTGGGGGTTGGGGGTTGGGGGTTGGGGGTTTGGCTATAGCATTTAAGTCGCGTCAATCTAGGCTCTAGCCGCTAGCCAGACCGAGAAGATATTCTTACTTCTCCAATAACCTAAGGAATAAACAGGTCGAACTTTATTATGCCACAAAGTAAGAAAACCCGAAACGTTTCAAGTTCAACTCTAAACCCTGGCGCCGAAACCCTAACTTATTGGCTCAGCACGTATTCTGGACCCTCAAGCAAAAGAGACCGGAAATCTCCAAAAGCTTGCCTCTAGCCTGTTCAAACACCCAAAACCTACTGATGTTGGTCGGTTACCTAAGAACACCATAATACAAGGGTTGTTTTAAAAAAGCAACAAAAGGGATGGTTTGGGCTTCCTAAGGTAAATCTTGCGAAAATACGGGACCCCGACCCCGAATATAGACCCCCAAATGGCAGGGTTCCCTTTCAATATAGTACAAGCACCCCAATAAGGTACCTATTATTTTCGGAAACCACGACATGAACCTAAACCCTGAACCCTAAACCGTAACCTTAAACCCTAAACCCTAAACCCGAAACCCTAAACCCTAAACCCTAAACCCTAAACGCCCCACCTGGAAGAAGCCCAGAAGCTGTCACGGGCAGTGAGTACAGCTGCGACTCCGTGCGGGGCAGCGTCGCACTGACGCCCAAGCTTTTGAAGGACACCCAGAGATCGATGTCCTCTCTGACGCTCAAAGGTTAGGGTTTAGGGTTTAGGGTTTAGGGTTTAGGGTTTAGGGTTTAGGGTTTCGGGTTTAGGGTTTAGGGTTTAGGGTTTAGGGTTCAGGGTTTAGGGTTTTAGGGTTCAGGGTTCAGGGTTTAGGGTTTAGAGTTTAGGGGGAGCCTCGAACCTTTAGGGGCTGTGGGAAGAACAGGTAAAACTTGGGGGGAAGGAGCTACAGCTGGGCTCCCAGGTAACCATGCGACCCCCAAGCCTGAATCCCTAAACCCTAAGCCCTAAACCCTAAACCCTAAACCCTAAACCCTAAACCCTAAACCCTAAACCCTAAACCCTAAACCCTAAACCCTAAACCCTAAACCCTAAACCCTATCTTAGATTTAGCCACACGAATAGGGCATTCAACATACTGTGCAGCCTAAGCCTCGGCAGTGACATTCAGATCTGGATCGTGATACTCCGCCTGAAGGTGGACCTCCCCACCTCTGGGTTTAGGGTTTAGGGTTTAGGGTTTAGGGTTTAGGGTTTAGGGCTTGTAGCAGACTCCAAAAAGTTGGACATCCGTATCCCCCTACCCCAAAAGGCACACTCAAGCGAATCCCAGCTCTAATCATGCTCAAGCCATGGTTCCAACTTTCTGGAGTTTACTGTAAGGTCTGGGTTTATAGGGTTCAGGGTGAGCTTAAATTGGCTCAGGGTGCTTGGCATCTAGGTTACCGAGCAGGTTTTAACTGACACACGGGTTTAGGGTTTAGGGTTTAGGGTTTAGGGTTTAGGGTTCAGGGTTTAGGGTTTAGGGTTTAGGGAACTTACAACAAAGTTGCCGAGCCTTCAGTGCAGTGTTTGGGAGATTGCGTAGCACCGTGGCATTTATCCTTTATTCGGTCGAAGTCTTCATCCCGAAATACAAAACTCCACACCAAGAGCCCTTAAACTCTACCCATTCGAGTATCCTGCATGCATGCCACTGAAAAACGAAAACGAGCCCCCGCATCTTCTTCCTCTGGTGCAGAGGCTACTGACCCAGGTAAGCCTTAAGTCGTAAGCCAACCCTGTACGCCCTGAACCCTCTGAGCACTAAATTCTCACCCCGCCCCCCTCCCCCCCCCCCAAAAAAAAAAAACAAAAAACAAACAAAAAGAATAGAAACAACAAACTCCAAAACCCTATACACTTGACACCCTGAGCCCTTTGAGCACTTCGCTAAGACTGCGGGGGCCTGAATCGCCCTTGTAGGGCGTCCCCACATCGCCGTAGCTCACGGTAAAGCCATCGCCCTCCAAAAGGCTCTGGAGCTTGCTCACATCTATGCCAGGCCTTAGACGCAGCGAGGCATGAGGGAGTAGGGCCAGGGTTGCAGGGGAATTCTTTACAGACGCTTAACCCCTAGAAGGGGCCCTTAATCTTATTCCCCGATAAAACTAGCCCCTGAGAAACCCCTGGATAACCCCTAAGGTCCAGGTCCCTGTACGGCTTGGTACCAGTGCAATGGCCCAGAAATCCATGTCAGCTACAGCGCCCACAGTATGCACAGCAGTACCTCCCCCAGACGCGAAATCCGCCAAGCAACACGAAACCGCTCAACCCAGCCCAAAGAACGGGGGTGAACTATCAACAAAAATTAAATAACTATCAAGACAACTGAACTACAACTATCAAAAAACAAATATGTATCCAAAACTTAAAATAGCTAAAAATGCAGCAAGATACAGTATTCCTGATTTTGTAGCATGGCCCCAGCGGGCGGCGTTGCCTACAGCAGTGAAAGCTAACACAAGGCTGGCATCGCGGGCTTGAAAACAATTCCTGCCCGCATCATGGGTTTGGAAAGGCTTCATAGGCTTTGAGGCAAACTTGCCCGGCTCAGAAAAAAAAAGCAGGCCCCATTTGCAAACAAAATGCCCGCATCATGGGTTTGGAAGGGCTTCAGCTTTGAAGCAAACTTGCCCGGCTCAGAAAAAAAAACGAGGGGGTTGGGAGGGGGGAGGCCCCCCCCCCCCATTTGCAAGCACAATGCCCGCATCATGGGTTTGGAAGGGATTTGTTTGAAGCATGCAAACACAATGCCCGCATCATGGGTTTGGAAGGGATTCGTTTGAAGCAAGCTTGCCCGACTTGAAAAAAAGCGGGGGGTTTGGGGGGGGGGGGGCAGCCCCCCCCATTTGCAAACACAATGCCCGCATCATGGGTTTGGAAGGGATTCGTTCGAAGCAAGCTTGCCCGACTCCGCAGACGCACGGCTCATTTATTAAGTTAGCCCGTGTTCTCTCATCACATTAGTATTAGTGTTATGGTTTAGTTCGTTCATTCCATATATAAGGAACGAAATGAAAGACAAAAAGGATGAACGAAGTGAAGGAGAAAAAGCCAGAGATTTAATTCAGGAATTCACTCAATAATTTCCCCACTTCTTTCTCCTTCATTTCGTTTATTTATTAAGTGAGTTTACGAACGAAAAGAGAACAAAGGAAAAGATGTCATGAAAAGTTCTTTGGATTTCAAGTTCTTGTAATTCTATTCAGAATTGTGCCTTAATATTAATATTGTAATGGCCTCTATAATTCTAAGCCTTTTGTATTCACTTTTCTTTGCGTTTATTTTATTCACACCTTCAGCACGAATAATGTTCTCCAATATTATCAGAATCATGCAGTTAATCGCTCACGCCGCACGGAATACAGTGCTCCCCCCAAACAAAATGAATGTAGGAACAATTGCATCGGAAGCCTGCGAAGGTGAAATGGCTGGGCTGGGGCTGCTGGGGTCTAACAAGGTGGCTGGAGTTGTCGCATGAGCCTCGCGGCTACGCAAAGCAGGTTCAATCCAAGACACCGGAATGGCAAGCGACGGCGCCGCTGATGCAAGACTGTCGAGATCACTGGCTTCGACATCGCGAGGTGAACTCTCAACACGGTCTCTGCTGCACGGCGTGGTTGGTGTGCGGAGCGTCTTCTCTGCGAGGAGCAAGCCCAGTCTAGCGCGGCATTCAAATCGTCTGGGTGCCGTCGGGCTGCCTGTCTTGCCGAAGCTGCCGGCACGCCAATGCTTTGCAGGGTGTTGCACATGGTCTGCACGTCGGGCGACGTCGCGGCGCCTCCGTTCATATACAAACCAAGGCCTGAAAAGTCCGCACCTCTGTCAGAGCAGCGCGAAGAGCAGTCCAGAGCAGAATTGAGATCTTCGGCGTGGGAACGGCCGGTTTCTAGCGCCCCCCCCTCATCAATGGCCTGCAAGGACCACGCAGGGACCTGAGGCACCGCAGCAGACACTCGCCTGCGGTTTTGATGAGCCTCCCATTCCTCAACCTTCCGAAATAAAGAGGTGTGTATAGGATCCTGTCTTCAGGACTGACGTCCTGCGGCGTGCCTCCTGCAGTTGAATCCGAGAAGTGCAAGGTCTTGTTTGGCGGGCTCTCGGGGGGGGGGGCAGGACACTGGGCTGAAGTCAACGCTAGCTTTGTCATTTGGTGAGTTGCAGTAGCAGAACCCTGAGTAGTCGGAAGGCAGCGGCGACTCACACCTGTCCTCATGGTTGGCTGTGACCTTGTGGCTCCGCGAAAAACCCTGCTGCAGCAGACTGATGTTCCTCCTGCGTGGGAGGAAGTACCGATGCTGCACTGCTTGTGGGGGGGACCCACAAAGGAATGCATAGAGACGAGCAGGGAGACGCCGCGTGCTGCTGAGTTGGCAGAAGCGAAACCGTCCGCTTCACGAGACCTGGAAGACCTGGACGCGTCTAGAACTGTTGCGGCGACGCTCCTGGGAGAAGAAGAGGCAGGGCAAGAACTGCAATGACGCGGCAAAGCACAAGACGTAAGCTGAGCAAGCGAAATGGCGGGAGGTGAAGGCGCAACCTGGCAGGTCTGTTACAGCGGAGGACATGCGATCAAGCAAACTCTGGCTGAGCTGACACTGTGGCACGCAGGCACTGTCGAAGGCTAGGTTGCTGTTGCAAGGGTGCGACTGCACCGCTTGAGCTGCACAGGCCCTGCTAGGCGTGGACCGCACGGAACCGTCGGCCTGCATGCAAGAGGAAGCCCAGTCCATAGCAGAGTTGGGATCGTTGGGGCGCAAGCAAGAGGGAACACCCATGGCACACATAGCTTCAAGCATCTCCTTTTCGGTGCTGGGGTTGCAGGAAGCAGGGGTTCACATGGCACCCTTCATTGGCGGAGCAGGACAGGACCCATCGCCATTTGGATTGCACGAAGTTTGGGGATGCTGCGCCACGCCTGCAAGGCCTTTGTGTTGCTCAGAGGGCCGTACACATGCTACATAATGGCCCGGTCTCTCTGCGCTGTCCTCTGTGTAGAGCATAGTTATGTAGTTTGTTGATCGTTATTTGTTTTTTGATAGTTCTCCCCAAAGAACCCAAAATTCCAACCCTCGTTAACACGAGCCCAAAACCCAAACCTATCAGACCACTCCCCCCCCCCCCCCCCCCAAGCCTCAAAACCTCTAAACCCTGAACTCTAAGACCCAACCCGAAACTCCAAACCCTAAACCCTAAACTCCAAACCCTAAACCCTAAACTCCAAACCCTAAACTACACTCCAAACCCTAAACTGAACTCCAAACCCTAAACCCTAAACTTCAAACCCTAAACCCTGAACTCCAAACCTCTACTCCAAAGCCTATAACCCTAAACCTCAGACCCCAAACCCTTGTTGGACTCCAAACGACTGCATCAGCACAAAGTCGGCGTCGTAATCCCAGGGGATCACTTCGCCTCTGGGCCCGCCCAGCCGGAGAATGCTCCTGGGCTCTGGGATTGAGTAGGGTTTGGGGTTTGGGGTTTAGGGTTTAGGGTTTAGGGTTTGGGGTTTACTTCCGGATTAGGAAATCTAAAGCCCTCAGCCCTAACCCCAACTGATATACCCAGGCAGCGCCCGCGTAAACCCTAAACCATAGCGGGGTCTGGGCTGAGGCCGTTCAAGTTCCTCGGTGGGTGTCCCGACGGTGCTTCCGCAGTGTTGTTTAAGTCCGGCACGAAACTCCCCGAAACCCTGAACCCTAAACCCTAAACCCTATGAGTATCTACGGGCATCCTTAACTGAATGGGGGTAACCAAAAAGGGATTCTAGTATTCCATAATTCTAATCCCTACTAAGGGCTGTGAGCCCCAAGGGTCCCCCCTACTCCTATCCCCTAAGTGGGGGGTCCGATATCCTTTTTTGGGGGGCTGTGTTTTGTGTGCTGGTATATGGAGTAGAAGGGTTGTTAGTATAAGGGGAAACATCCCATCTTTCAACCTAAGATAGGATTCTCATAAGCCATTTTAGGGTTTAGGGTTTAGGAAGTGTTTCCAGCATCTTACCCTCACAAGCCCACCTAGATGCCAAGTCCCAAGCCCTACAGCCCCGTAGTCGCCTCCTGAGCCCTCGAATTCCCCCTTTACGTGAGCTGAAGGGATCCCCTAAGCCCGAAACTCTATACCCTAAACCCCGATCCCGCAACCCTAAACCCTAAACCCCACCATGAAACTACCCTAAGAGAAACTTAGGGTTTAGGGTTTAGGGTTTAGGGTTTAGGGTTTAGGGTTTAGGGTTTAGGGTTGACCATCAGCTTTACCAGGAAAACTTAAATCCTAAACCCTAAACCCCAGGAAGCCCTAGATCATTAAACCTACAGTAGTGGTAGGCTCAGGGTCCCGAAACCCTCTAAATTGCAAGACCCCCAGCCTAACCCCACAGTACCTCTGAAGCGCCAAGCTCTTGCGCAACGAAGATACCACAAGGGTTTGGGCTCGGATGTTCCGCCTTATACTAACAGTCCTTCATAGGGACTATAGTACCCCCTACTATACTCCCTAGTGAAGGACTGTTCGTATAAACGGACGGTTTAGGGTTTAGGGTTTAGGGTTTAGGGTTTAGGGTTTAGGGTTTAGGGTTTAGGGTTTAGGGTTTAGGGTTTAGGGTTTAGGGTTTAGGGTTTAGGGTTCAGGGTTTAGGGTTTAGGGTTTAGGGTTTTTAGGGTTTCCAAGATCTGGGGCAGATTTGCTAGGCTTGAAGATGAGGGAACAGCCTGAGAACATCACACCGAATGCAACCTAATGGCTTCTTCCAGGTGGGGGGGTTTAGGGTTTAGGGTTTAGGGCTTAGGGTTTAGGGTTTAGGGTTGGTTTTGGCTTTAGGGTTTAGGGTTTAGGGTTTAGGGTTTAGGGTTTAGGGTTTAGGGTTTAGGGTTCATGTGGTGGTTTCCGAAAGTAGGGGTACCTTCTTGGGGTCCTTATTGTGAGGTTTTTTTTTTTACTATTTGGGGGGTCTATTTTCCGTGCTTTTTACTTTCGTAAACCCCTAAGATGAACAAACATGAACAAACAGTAACGATCAACCCTAAACCCTGTAGCATAGGGTGTTCGTAACCATCCAAACCCTAAGCGCCAACTCCACCTAATTTCCTGAACCGAAACCCGAAACCCCCAGCTTCCGAACCCGAAACGATTGGGCTTTGTGCAGGTTCCAAGGTCAAATTCGTGCCTCTTCTCTTTGTTTACTTTTTTTTTTTGGGGGGGGGGGGGGGGGTTTAGGAGCTTAGGGTTCAGGGGCCTAAGCCCTAAACCCCAAACCCTAAACCCTAAACTCTCTTTCGAGGCAAGCTTCACTGAGCTTCCGAAAACGGGTAGGAGCATGGCCCTGGGGCTGCGGACCACCTCCAAGACATCCTTCAGCTTCTGCATGGCTCGCTTCCTGGGTTTTTTTTTCATGGGTGTTTTTCCGGGAGTTGTTGGGGGTTTAGGGTTTAGGGTGTTTAGGGTCTTTAGGGTTTTTAGGGTTTTTAGGGTTTAGGGTTTAGGGTTTAGAATTTAAGGTTGAAGATTTAGGTCTCGAACTGTAGGAAAGGTTGCAGGTGTGGAGTTGTTTATAGTCCTTCTGTACTTTGCGATTTTCGGCTGGGCACTGCTGAGTACTGCTGCGCACTCCCCCCTCCTCCTCCCCGTCTGAAAACTCCCGGCTAAAATAGCCCTAAACGCCGAACTCGAAACGGCCAGGTTCCCATACAAACTGACCTTTTGGTTTAGAGCTTTGTAAGTCTAGAGAGCCTTATGTGGCACTATAGGCCTCATGATTACAAAACTTCCCAACACCAAAGACTGGCGTCAGGGCCAGCCGCACGCAATACGGAACCACCATGCCGACAGCATTCGCCAGCAGCGCCTCATCCCCGCGCCATGGCTTGATGCACCTCTGATTCCAGGGGTTTTGGGGTTAGGGTTTAGGGTTTAGGATTTAGGGTTTAGGGTTAGGGTTTAGGGCTTAGGGTTTAGGGTTTAGGGTTTAGGGTTTAGGATTTGGGGTTTGCGGTTTGGGGTTTAGGGTTTAGGGTTTAAGGTTTGGGTTTAGGGTTTAGGGTTTAGGGTTTAGCGGCTTAGATGTGCCGGGGGAGGTTACAGGCCCTAAGCCCTAAACCCTAAACCGCCTAAACCCTAAACCCTAAACCGTAAACCCTAAACGCGCCTGGTTTGCACCTCCATGTCTGGGTGGAACCTTGCTGCTTCGATGTCATACCTCCTGCGAGCGTGAGGAGCACTTCGCGCGGCGTTTGCATTCGTAGAAGTGGGTTTAGGGTTTAGGGTTTAGTAGGGTTTAGGGTTTAGGGTTTAGGGTTCAAGTTTAGAGTTTAGGATTTGGGGTTTAGGGTTTGGGGTTTAGGGCTAGGGGCTTCAGGCTACCGCAATACCAATCCTACTGAGATCGAATGTTGGTATTCTTCAACACCCTTCAGACTTTCAAGCACCCCCGGCCCGAAAACTGAAACCCGGCAAGAACAAGATTCGGGGCTTAGGAGGGTAGCTACAAATCAAAATTTAGCTGCCCTTATTTCAGAAACCCAGTAAACCCAAAAAGGCCAAGGATCTAAAGTTACAGTATAAAGCACTACAAAGAAGATTCGGGGGCTTAAAGGCAGGAACTGTCGGACTGACTGCTCCTGGACAGGGATGCCCCAAGCGCTGTGTGCAGCAGGTAGGACTCCTCTTCCACAATGGTGCCGCTCGAAGTCACACAAGTGATGGCTGTGCCTCTAAGGCGCTTCAGTCTTAGATCAAGGCCGAGCAGCCACGCAGACCCCAGCTCTGGGGTCTGCTGTGGCGAGTCAAGAAGCCTCCGCAGCACGGAGGAGTTGTACACCCGCGTCCCGCTCGTGGTGTCGCCCCCGAAGCAGTGCGACAGGTCGCCAGAATTATGCGGCTGGGCCCAAGAGCGATATCCAAAAGGATATGGGACAACCTTGAGGACTAATTGAACCCTAAACCCTAAACCCTAAACCCTAAACCCTAAACCCTAAACCCTAAACCCTAAACCCTAAACCCTATAGACTCACTTCCCCCAAGGAACAGAGAGCTTCCAAAAGGCATGTCGTAGCTGCAGCACGGGCCAAGCCCAGGTGCCCTTTGAGGAGGTGGGGAAGCCAACGACCCCCGCGCGTGCATCGCCATGAACCAAGAAAGTTGAGGAGTGAAGCCCCAAACCTTCCAGGGTTTAGGGTTTAGGGTTTAGGGTTTAGGGTTTAGGGTTTAGGGTTTAGGGTTTAGGGTTTAGGGTTTAGGGTTTAGGGTTCAGGGTTTAGGGGGTTTGGGGGTTTGGGGTTTGGGGTTTAGGGTTCTGGGTGTTAAGTCTAGGCTTACTTACGATGGCTTACGCCCCAGGCCTTCCACCAAGATGTTGAAATCTTGAATCATGGGAGAGACGAGCACGACGGCACCAGCCGCCAGCGCACGGAATCGACCCGCACGCAGGCGCCGGTCGTAGAAGCGAAAGCAGCTTGCCAGCGTGTCGCTGTCGGTGAGTGGGCCGCTGGGAGGATCCTTGGCTGCACTCAGAAGGGTAGCTAGCTAAAAACTAAATTTTTAGCTGCATATTCAGCCCCAAAAACCCAAAAAGGCGAAGGATCTAAGTTACAGTAAAGCACTACAAAGGATCATGCAAGGAAATCGCATAGTTCAGGCCGACCATCATCAGCAGGTGGTAGGCAAACGCGTTCACCTTGGGACCGCAGTATAGGAGGTGGCCCAGGAGCGCCCGAGAGTCTCCGGCGAACCAAGAAGGAACGCAATGGACTCCAGCAGGATGCTGTGCCTCGCCCGTGCACAGCGCGTGGTAGGTCTCCCCAAGCGACCGCCACGTCTCCCGGCCTGCGGCCAATGCATTTTCGACCGCCCCCGCAGGCGGCCAGATGCAGCAGCGCTGGGCCGAAAAGCCCTCTCCGAAGCAGACGGGATTCTGCCTGGGATGGCCCTTGAACCCTAAACCCTAAACCCAAACCCTAAACCCTAAACCCTAAACCCTGAACCCTATAAACCCTAGACCCTAAACCCTAAACCCTAAACCCTAAACCCCTAAACCCTAAACCCTAAACCTATGCAGATGCGTGACGGAGAAAACTTGTTAGGAGAGCGCCAGGTCGCGGAATACCACATTATCGCTTTACGCAGGGCCCCTACCGCTTTACATAATGGGATGCGTGCATCTCAATGTGCAAACCAATGCTATCGCTTTAAAATAGGTGGCGCCCATATCGCTTGCCATGGTTTATTGATAGATGCAACAACTCGTGTCCCCCGTGGTACTGGCTCAGCCAAACAATTTTAGGCAGGCGCTCAGACAAGGAGGGGCCCCTTCCTTTACTAACTGTAGTTAAAGGGACTTATGACCTAATTTAGGATCCTTATAACCCAATTTAGGGCTCTTTTTACTCTCCTTTTTACTTTTTACCAGGGGGCCCCTCCTTGTATGATCCTCGTAAAGCCCAGGGTTTAGGGTTAGGGTTTAGGGTTTAGGGTTCAGGGTTTAGGGTTCAGGGTTTGGGGTTTAGGGTTTAGAGTACAAAAAACATCAAAAAATATGCCAAAAGGGCCCTAGCTGCGTGTAGCAGCACCAGCTCCTGAGGGGTCCGCTGGCATAGGCGGCGCCTCGTCCCTAAACCCCAAACCCCAAACCCCAAACCCCAAACCCCAAACCCCACACCCTAAACCCTAAACCCTAAACCCTAAACCCTAAACCCTAAACCCTAAACCCTAAACCCTAAACCCTAAACCCTAAACCCTAACCCTAAACCCTAAACCCTAAACCCTAAACCCTTAGCCGCGTAGGCGGCGCCTCTGCCACCGGTGGAAGCCCAGCACCGGAAAGTTTCAATGAGCCAGCGACTGGGCGCCTGGGCTTCCTTGCCTTACTTCCCCAAGAAGGTTTAGGGTCTAGGGTGTTTAGGGTTTAGGGTTTAGGGTTTAGGGTTTAGGGTTTAGGGTTTAGGGTTTAGGGTTTAGGGTTTGGGGCTTATAGGGCTTAGGGTCTAGGGTTTAGGGTTGCGGGCTAGAGCTCATGATTCGAGAGCCCGAAGGAATCGAAAGCTCAACTATGGCTACGTAAGTTGCAACAAGAGCTCTCCGTCCCACCTGCTGGGCAGCCCGCGACAGCGTGCTCCAAGCAGCAGGTCAGGAAGGAGGCTTTGCCGGTGAAGCAGGGACTTTGGGGCCCCACCGTAGCCATGGCAAGCTTCACGGGCTCATTCTCAACTCCTTTAGGGTTTAATTAGGGTTTAGGGTTTATAGGGTTTAGGGTTTAGGGCTTAGGGCTTAGGGCTTAGGGCTTAGGGCTTAGGGTTTAGGGTTTAGGGTTTAGGATTTAGGGCTTACGGTTTAGTGTTTAGGGTTGGGATGCTCACTAGGTTTAGGGTTTAGGATTCAGGGTGTAGGGTTTAGGGTTTAGGTTTAGGTTTTAGGGCTCAGGGTCTAAGATTTAGGATTTAGGGTGTAGGGGTTAAGGGTTCAGGGCTGAAGAGTTTAGGGTTTAGGGTTTCAGGGCTTGGGGTTGCAAAGGAAGGGGCTGCGGCAGGTTCGCCCTACCTTGAGCAAGCCCTACGCACGGCAAGAATGGGAGCGTGCCTTGCGCGATGGGGTCGGCTGCCCTGATTCAAGGGAGTAGCCTCTGCACCCTAGCAACAAGGCGCATGTACCAGCAATGAACCAACACCCTAAACCCTAAACCCTAAACCCGAAACCCTAAACCCTAAACCCTACCCCAAAACCTAAACCCTGAACCCTAGGTAGGTTTCCCTTGCATATGTTATGCTTGGCCGGCTTGAGCATGCTGCAGCTGCAATAGGCAACCAGGCCTGGTTGGTGAAGCAGTGGGAGTAGTACCTTAAAAGCAGCTCTTCGTGGGCTAGGGTTTACGGTTTAGGGTTTAGGGTTTAGGGTTTAGGGTTTAGGCTTTAGGGTTTAGGCACCTCCTAAGTCCTAGACCCTAAACGCCAAGGCCTACTTTCTGAGCTACCGTGGCTTTCAGAGGCGAGTCAGGGAACGAACAACTCTACGCAGGAAAGCCTCTCTGCGGGAGTTGACGTCCCTAAACCCTAAACCCTAAACCCCAAACCCTAAACCCTAAACCCCAAACCCCAAACCCTAAACCCTAAACCCCAAACCCTAAACCCTACGACAGTTGGGCGCAGCTTGTCTCGTCAGGGCCTGACTCAACACTCAACATGATACCAAGATCATCCCTGCAGAAGAAATGTGTCGGCTACGACTGAGAACAATCAAGCGTTTTTAGGGTTTCGGGTTTAGGGTTTAGGGTTTAGGGTTTAGGGCCTAAGGGTTTAGGGTTGCTTAACAAACCCTCCTATATAAACCCAAGACCCCACGTGCTGCCTTGGTACAGGCCACCTGTGACAAACCAGTTGCCCGCAGAGTAATCGGGCAGAGCGCAGAGGAGCTGTTTCTTCTTGCAGAAGGACTCATGACACCTCCACAACGGCTTGCAGTTAGGGAGTTCCGGGTTCAAGGCTGCAGCGGCGAAGCCTAAGCCCTAAGCCCTAAGCCCTAAGCCCTAAACACTAAACCCTAAACCCTAAACCCCCTAAACAGGCACTAGGCATGTGATCTTGGCTTGGAGCGGCGAGGACTCAGGATGGGAGGACGGCGGATTGTACTTGCCACAATAAAAGCCGGTGAACCCTCCCCACCCCAAACGCACAAGGGTTTAGGGTTTAGGGTTTAGGGTTTAAGGTTTAGGGTTTACGGTTTAGGGTTTGGGGCCTCACACCCTACATGCACGGTCCTAAGCGAAATCTCCGTACCACCCCAAAACCTCCAATAAAGAAAACGAAACCCTCAATTCCCCCGGAGCTCGAGAACCCCTGAACCCCTAAACCTCTCCCCACACCCAAATCCTACACCCCTCAGCTGGAAAGACCCTTCAGCCCTGCAAACCCTAAAACCCTAAACCGTAAACCCTGAACCATAAACCCTAAACCCTCCCCGCCCTCGCCCCCCCCCTCCCCCGGGCTTGATGTTGGCCACATAGTGGCCGGGCGGACATCTCATCTCCTCGGTGCATGTAGGCCGGATAGTTTATACCGGTATGAACCCTGAACCCTAAACCCAGACCGTAGACCGTAGACCGTAGACCGTAGACCGTAGACCGTAGACCGTAGACCGTAGACCGTAGACCCTAAACCCTAAACCCTAAACCCTAAACCCTAAACCCCTAACCCCTAACCCCTAACCCCTAAACCCTAAACCCTAAACCCTAAACCCTAAACCCTAAACCCTAAACCCTAAACCCTAAACCCTAAACCCTAAACCCTGAACCCAAACCCTAAACCCTGATTAGGGTTTCGGGCTTAGGGAGGTGTTGGGGATGGTCTTAGTAGGGCCGTCGGAGGTGAGAGCAATACCGCACCCTCTCCGGGGCGTCTTCGGGATTCTTAGGGTTTAGGGTTTAGGGTTTAGGGTTTAGGGTTTAGGGTTCAGGGTTTAGGGTTTAGGGTTTATAATGGGTTTAGGGTTCAGGGCTTATGAACTGGAGAAACCCTCAACCCCCAGCTTGGCCTAGACCCTAAACTTTGGTAGCCCAGTAACCATATTCTAAGAATAAGGATTTAGGGTTTAGGGTTTAGGGTGTAGGGTTTAGGGTTTAGGGTTTAGGGTTCCTGTTGGGGGGTTGTTTACTTTAACAAGGGAACCTAGGACGGTACCACGCAGCTGCCAAGAAACTTTAAACCGCACACCCCAACAGCTTCAATCGGACACATAGAATCATGCCCCGAGCCCAGACCCCAAACTCCAAAACCGGTTTAGGGTTTAGGGTTTAGGGTTCAGGGTTCAGGGTTCAGGGTTTAGGGTTTAGGGTTTAGGGATGTTCAGGGTTTCGGGTATTTAGCGTCCCCCAAAAAAACCCTGCGTCGTCAACCCAACCTTCCGCCGAGTGACGACGTCCTCCATGAACTTAGTTGTCCAGATTGTAGGTGTGCCCCGGACATCCACGTAGCTGCCTGCTCAGTGAGGGGGGCGGCTTCTGTTGAGTTTTGGGGCAATTTTTCTGCCGGTGAGTCTGAGAGCGGTGTTCTCACGCTTTCTTTCAAGTTTTTGGGGCAATTTTCCTGTCGGGTGAGTCTGAGGGCGGTGTTCTTACGCTAGGAGCCCGCATCTGGCGGCTTCGAGTTCCATGGCACGGGGGTTGGGGGCTTAGAGTTTAGGATAGCACCCTTTGAGCAAAGACGACACTAAGTTCATGGTTGGGATAGCAAAAATCAAATTTCCATTCCGGGTTGAGTTTAAGTACCTTTAAGAACGTTACCCCACTATGACAAAGATACCAAGGCAAGGTAGGTTCTGAAGGAACGACACAATTGAGCGGTTACCAGGACGTGCAAGTGACTCCTGCTCGGGTTGAAGTTGGCCGGGGGGGGGGGGGGGGGCTTGGGGTGAAGGTTGAGGAATTAGGGTTTAGGGTCTAGGGTCTAGGGTTTAGGGTCACTAAGCCCAGCTCCGACTGCCCAGCCCAACCCTCTCCCTAAACCCTAAACCCTAAACCTTAAACCCTAAACATTAAACCCTAAACACCCACACAGAAAGAAAACACTCCGGCCCCAACAAAAGTCGGATCCCTCAAGCCCGAACCCCTCCCCCACCCGCCGGCCAGATTAGGAGAAACAAAAAAGAGCCACCGCAAGAACTCTTCAACGTCAAACCCTAAACTCCCTGAACCCTAATTACTTGCACCCCAAACATGTAAAGTTTTCTGGGTGATACCTATGAACTAAGAGTAATTACTACTAAACTGTATATAATCGGTAATTGCAGTTAACCTGAGGCCCTGCCGTCCAACTCCCTCCCCGTCAAGACGAATAAACCCTAAACCCTAAACTAAACCCTAAACCCAAAACCAAAAACCAAAAACCCTAAACCCTAAACCCCAAGCCCCTGCAAACCCTCCACCCTGAACGAAATCATGTGAAAGCAAACACAAGAAACAATGAAACATCCCAATGGCCTACCTCCGGGCTTGTAGGATACATGCACCCTAAACCCTAAATCCTGAAAGCCCTCTGAAAATCCTCTGAAAACCCTCAGAAAGCCTTAAACCCTAAACCCTAAACCCTAAACCCTAACGCCTAAACCCTAAACCCTAAAACCTAAACGCGTCCAAGCGGCCCCAGCTTCCCAGCTTCGTCGGCATTGCAGCCTTCAACTCGTCACAGGACTGTCCTGGGTTTAGGGTTCAGGGTTCAGGGTTCAGGGTTCAGGGTTTAGGGTTTAGGGTTTAGGGTTTAGGGTTTAGGGTTTAGGGTTTAGGGTTTAGGGTTTAGGGTTTAGGGTTTAGGGTTTAGGGTTTAGGGTTTAGGGTTTAGGGTTTAGGGTTTACGGCACTTATGCAAATCACCAAAAACTAACAATAATGCGGTGAGCCATCTGAAGCAGGGCGTCCTCGGCAGGTGAGTCTCTGAACTGGTCGGTGCTCGTTGTTGTCGAACTCCTTGTCGTACTTTTCCTGCTCTTAGGGTTCAGGGTTTAGGGTTTAGGGTTTAGGGTTTAGGGTTTAGGGTTTAGGGTTTAGGGTTTAGGGTTTAGGGTATCCAACTTTCATGGGGCTTCGGGTTCAGGGCTTAGGGCCCGTGCAGTTGGACTTGGCCTTTTGGGTAGATTAGGTGGGGCGCATGTTGGAGGATCATGGGGCGGGACAATGTCTCCGCGACAAACCCTATGTGGTCCTTGAGCTGGAACTGCATGATCATCTCCTGGGTACCGCTGCCTGGGAGACAGCAATTGAATTGCACAGGGCTTCGCAAGGCCAGTGGGGTGTAGGGTTTAGGGTTTAGGGTTTAGGGCTTAGGGTTTAGGGTTTAGGGTTTAGGGTTATCATGGTATCAGGCTTATGGATTCAAGACTTAAGACTTTGCAAGGGCTTTGCTCCCTTCCTCCCTCCCGAACCTGCTTAGCGTTAACTTCTCCCAATATACAAGAGTAGACGATCAAGGGAATCTTCGAAATTCCCCACATGCAAGACTAGCATGAGAATGTTGGATCTTAGGGTCTTAGCGTCTTGCTTGGGTGGGTTCCAGCCTCTAAACGTGTGAGGGAACTCCACGCAGCTTTGGGTGTACTACAGCTACTACGAGAGCCTTAATAATTTCCGACTGTTCTCCCCATATCATCCCTCCATGATCATAATCGCAACTACCCAAGCTACTAGGGCTTACTACAAAGGCCCCTGTAGCACTTTAGCCTTGGTGATTGGAGCTTGTGGCGATGCTCACTGTACACCCTGTGACTAGGGATCAGGGTTTCCAGAGCGCAGCGCTGCAAAGTTTAGGGCTTCAGAGCCTCCCCAAATACAAGAAAATCATGCCTAGGTGTTATCCTTAAAAACATTTTTTGGGGGTTCTTAAGCAAATGGTAGGGTTTCATGGGGGCTTGGGAAAAAAACATCCTCAATCCAAAGCCCTGAGTGTGAAAAAGGCCCAAGAGCAGTTTGCCCTACGAATGGGTCCCTCTAAACCTCCAACCCTAAACCCTGAACCCTCAACCCACTTCAGAATTCTTAGAAGCCTACCTTCAACCCACGGGTTTTGGGCTTCGAGGGCTCTATGCCCTCAACCTTTATGTCCTCGACCTCCAAACCCTCAATCGGGTGGGACCGAACACTAAACCCTAAACACCAAACCCTAAACCTCAAACCTCAAACCTCAAACCTCAAACCTCAAACCTCAAACCCTAAACCCTAAACCCTAAACCCTAAACCCGAAACCCTAAACCCTAAACCCTAAACCCTAAACCCTGAACCCAGCAAAGCGTCTGCTGATCCAGTCGGTCGACCTGCTTCGTCACAGAGCGGGGCTTCGGATTTCGAGCTTGTAGGCCTAGACCCTAGGAAGGGTTTAGGGTTTAGGGTTTAGGGTTTAGGGTTTAGGGTTTAGGGTTTAGGGTTTAGGGTTTAGGGTTTAGGGTTTAGGGTTTAGGGTTTAGGTTAGGGTTTAGGGTTTAGGGTTTAGGGTTTAGGGTTTAGGGTTTAGGGTTTAGGGTTTAGGGTTTAGGGTTTAGGGTTTAGGGTTTAGGGTTTAGGGTTTAGGGTTTGGGGGGGAATTCTTCTGAAGCCCCCTCGGCCCTCTGCCCTCTGCGTGCCTGGGCTCGGCGAAGCTCATGTCGAAGTCACCTCGGCTGGTCTGGGTGTAGGGCTTTCGGCCCTAAACCCTAAACCCTAAACCCTAATCCTTAAACCCTAGCAACAGCGGTTAGGGTTTAGGGTTTAGGGTTTAGGGTTTAGGGTTTAGGGTTTAGGGTTTAGGGTTTAGGGTTTAGGGTTTGGGGTTTGGGGTTTGGGGTTTGGGGTTTCGGGTTTAGGGCTAAGGCTCGTGGGCTCCGGGTTCGACGCTTGGGGTCGTGCAGAGCCTTGCGAGCCCCGAAGTCCGAAAGACACTGTGAACTTCCCCCAAAAAACCCTTCCCTTGAAGCCCGCAAGAAGCGCCACCATCCGCGAAAGACCTTTAGAGCCCCAGAAGCCATAGCCCTAAAAGGCACCCTAAAGCCCGTAAACCCTCGGCGCCGAAAAGCCTAAAAGCCGGAACCCTATTGAGATCCCCTCCCCCCCCCCCACAAAAGAAAGTAGAAAGGAAACAACATAAAACCCTAAACCCGAAAAAACCCCTAAACCCTAAACCCTAAACCCTAAACCCTAAACCCTAAACCCTAAACCCTAAACCCTAAACCCTAAACCCTAAACCCTTCAGAAATGAAACGGGTGCTCCTCAGACGGCGGGCCGAAGTTAGCACCGGAGTCGTCGCCGTAAAGTGCAGGGCGGCGGCAGTGGAGTCGCACCTGGGGCTTCAGGGATTTAGGGTTTAGGGTTTAGGGGTTTAGGGGTTTCGGGTTTAGGGTTTAGGGTTTAGGGTTTAGGGTTTAGGGGTTCGGGCCAGAGTCTCGGGGTGTATCCTAACAGGGGTTTAGGCTCTTGGGCTTTCGGCTTTCAGAGTTTAGGGTTTAGGGTTTGAGGGCAATGGCAACAGAACTCTCTCCAAGCGGACGTGCGCAAAACAGACGGATTAGGGGGTAGGTTTTGGAGTTTAGGCTTAGAACGGGAACTTGGTAGGGTTGGGTTTTAGACCCCATGGTTTGCCTTAGCTTTATGTGACGTACAGCCTGCTTCCAAAACACCTGAACGGGGTTTAGTGTATGGTTTAGGGTTTAGGGGAATGGGAAGTGGAGTAGGAGTTCAGGATTTGGGGGTTGTGGGGGCTATCAGGTATGCAGGTGGTTGGGGAAGAGCCTTGGTAAACATATGCAGCACCGCTTCTCTCTCTCTACGCCCCTAAACCCTCAACCGTACAACCCTGAGCCTGTGAACCCTAAACGCTCAACCCCGAACCCCTGAATCCCACACAACAAGCCGAGAGTGCCCTGTTTGGGAGATTTTTCAGGTTGAGGTCCTTTTGCAGTTTTGGGCCGTCGCTTTTTTTGAGCAGGTCGGACGTAGGGTGAGGCTTCTTGTGCTTTCAGAGGCAACAGGAGGCAAAGGCACAACAAACATGATGGGACCACCACATGGGCTTGATGGCTGAGGGTGCAACAGCTCAAGCATCCTACGAAGTAGTGTGTGTTTTTCTAGTATCCCCAACAGGACAATCCATACATGGTTTTGCGCCCCCTACAGTAAACCCCAAATCCTGGAAACCCTAAACCCTACACCCTTTTGTTTGGGATCGAAATTGCGGGCGTTCCCTTCGACCCTATATCTCTAGACCCCAGACCCTAAAGCCTGAACCCTAGACCCTCGACCCTAAACCCTAAACCCTAAACCCCCTCTGGCGTTTAATGTTTGAGCGATTTCGGGCTTGCGGATTTTGCGAGGCCGGACGGCCAGCTTGCAGCTCTTCTCCAGCGACCAGCCTGCTTCACGAAGGGTTTGGGGTTTAGGGTTTAGAATCTAGGGTTTAGGGTTTGCCTGCTTTAAGGAGGGCTTGGGGCTTATACTGCAGGTTTAGGGTTTGAGGTTTAGGGCTTAGGGTTTAAGGTTTAGGGTTTCGGACCTAGGATTTAGGGTTTAGGGTTGCGGGTTTAGGGCTTCGGGATTAATAGGGGTTTAGTGTTTCGGGGATCCTTGAGGTGTAAGTGGAGGTCTGGGTTTCATTTAGGGGGTAGGCCTTAAGGTCGAGGGTGTAAGGGTTAAGATTTGCGGCATCATGGTTTATGATTTTTCAACGGTTTAGGGTTTAGGGTTTCGGGTTCCATATGGGGAACCGATGTCTTTGTAAACGCTACCCGAAAAACGGATTGTGAAGGTTCATATCTATGGCACCGAAGAAGGACACTATCACACCGAACTTGCCTTCTCGGCCCCTGACAACAGGGTCTCCAACCGTGCAAGGGTCTTAAAGTCCTCCTAGAGGAAGCACTGCAGCCCAAGTATACTCAACTCAGCTACATCAAGGATTCTCGAAATACAGCTCAGCAATGGGCCTTCTTTGCCTGCCCTAATTCAGGGAGCCCTCTCAACCCTCAACCCTAAACCCTAAACCCTCAACCCTAAACCCTCAACCGGAAACCCTAAACCAAATTAGGCTTTAGGCTTTAGGGCACGTGCCTCCGCTAGCGCACTCCAGGCCGATGGCGAGGGACTGTCAAGCTCATGGCAGCAAGAAACCCCCAATGGTTTTGGTTTAGGGTTGAGGGTGCAGGGTTTAATAGGGTTTAGGGTTTAGGGTCTAGGGTTTAGGGTTCAGGGCTTAGGGTTTCAGGGTTCTCCATCTAAGGCACCCGCATCTTTTGAATAGGTGTATTTAGGGTATCTTACAGAGCACCCTTAAATGGGGACCCCATATATACACCTTATATGCCTCATATAAGCAATACAACCCAAGGGCCCATGAACATTGCTCGACAGCCCTTCAGACCTGCCCACGCGGTTGTGGGCTGAGGGAAAAGAGAGACAGAAGCATACCAAGCCTTCGGGAACTACGTGCCTTAAGTAGACCCAAGAGTAACCTAGCAATAAAACCTTTTGGTTTAAAGGGGCTGAAAAGGGAACCTAAACCCTAAAAAAGGGGGAATAAAGGGACACAGAGTACTAAACCCTAAACCCTGAACCCTAAACCCTAAACCCCTAAACCCTAAACCCTAAAAAAAGGGAATAGGCGACCTACCCTGAGTCCTAGTGAGTCACCACGCCTGCCCGCAGCTACCCATGGCCGAGCCCGTCTTGCCGTTGAACCAAGGGGAGTAGCTGCGCCCACCTAGCCGGTGAGGGGCTATTAGGCCCTAATAAACCCTAAACCCTAAACCCTAAACCCTAAACCCTAAACCCTAAACCCTAAACCCTAAACCCTAAACCCTAAACCCTTTTGAAGGGGCTAGAGGGTATAGTAGCCCATCCTGGTAGCCGGTGAGGGGCATGTGGGGAAGCTGGGCCCATGTAGGGTTTAGGGTGTAGGTAGAGGATGTCCTGGTCCAAGCATCTTTTTCGAGCATTCGAGGGTCGAAGCTCAAACGACCCAATCTTTCCAAGTTTTAGCATTTCTAACACCCCCAAACAACCTCCCCCCCGCAACAAAAAAACAAAAACATAACAAGAAAAAACAAAAAAACAATCAAACTTAAGCCCCAAAAAACCCAAAGCCAAACCCTGGACCCGAAACCTTGCACAGGTCTGTCGAACAAACCCCCCAAAAGCCTACACCATGACACTGTGTTCGATTAGGGTTTAGGGTTTAGGGTTTGGGGTTTAGGGTTTAGGGCCCTATCTACCCCATCAACGATCAGCAAGCGGGCGGGTCCTCCGTCCTGCCATTGACATCTGCGGGAGCACAGAACCCATGCAGAGGCCGCGAGCGACAGTGCTGCGCACACACAGCCTTAAGGACCTAGAAGAGCACCGGAACCCTGAACCCCAAACGCACATTCCATCATGGTCCCGTGGGCATCGTCCACTCCGGAGGTCAAAGTCTTGGCCGCGGGACCGGGGGAGGCAGAACGCAGTCTGCGCAGGATAAACCCCAAAACCCTTACAAAAAAGATACCCTCAACACTAAATACCCTAAACCCTAAAAGCCCTCATTTGAGAGCAACAGTGCTGAAAGCCCAAAGCCCGTAGACAGTGGCCGAAAACCTGCTAGACCCTATGTTCAGCCCTAAACCCTAAACCCTCAAACCCTACCCCCTGCACCCTTCAGGGCAATTTACGACCCTAAAGGCAGCAAGGGTTACCGAAGTGTCCATCCACGAGCACAAGAAGCCCTGATGCAAACTGCGCATAACGGAAATGCGGACGTCGCGTGCGACCCCTGACCTTAACCCTCAGAATGAAGCCATAAGCCTCGAACCCCCAAGCCCTAAACCCTGGACCACCTAAACCCTGGACCCTAAACCCTGGACCCTAACCCCTAAACCCTAAACCTTGAACCCTAGGCCCAGTCCCTGAACCCCTAGGCCCTGAACCCTGAACCTGAACCCTAAGCCCTAAACCCTGAAGCCCAAGTCCTCAATCCTTGAACCCAAAAATTTTCGAGCCTTCTACTCGACAAGCCCTACAAAGGGTTTAGGGTTTAGGGGTTTAGGGTTTGGGGGTTTCGGGGTTTAGGGTTTAGGGATTTAGGGATTTAGGGATTTAGGGGTTTAGGGGTTTAGGGGTTTAGGGGTTTAGGGGTTTAGGGGTTTAGGGGTTTAGGGGTTTAGGGGTTTAGGGGTTTAGGGGTTTAGGGGTTTAGGGGTTTAGGGAAGATGTACGCTGTGGCGCGCCTGAGAGGTACCAGGGTGAGCTTGGTAGTGGAGGGGCGCAGGTCAGCTCGAAGGACTTGCAGGAGTCCTGTTCTTTGCCAAAATGGCGGCTTTAGGAACCCTAAAGACCAACCCGAAACCCTAAACCCTAAACCCTAAACCCTAAACCCTAAACCCTAAACCCTATAAACCCTAAACCCTAAACCGCTAGTCAAGGGTACAGGGGCCCAAGGGTAAAAAGCGTTCAATGGTGTAAGGGGGTATATACCCCTTGGGGCCCATACCTCACATCCCTTTAAACGTTAAAGGAGGTAAAGGACCATATTAAGGGACCATGTAGCTACCCTTAGACTTGTCCGGAAGCACCCCACCTAGGATCTATGACGGTGCTGCACAACGAGGATCTTGTACTGCAGGTTTAGGGTTTAGGGTTTAGTGTTTAGCGTTTAGGGTTTAGGGTTTAGGGGGGCGTGCAACCCTGAACCCTTAACTCGTTCCTCGGGCTTTCAAAGACTAGGCCCAAGCCTGGCAGTAAGCTGGAATACATGGGGTCAAGGGTATAGGTATTAGGGCTTAGTGTACCAAGATTCATGATCCTTTCATCAGTGCGTTGTCGCAGGAACGTTGTCTCGCTCTCTGTGGCCCATGCCGGCTAGCAGGATTCCAGTGTAGTGGTGCATTGTAACGCATGTGCCATCGGCCAACCCTAAAAAAGCCCAAAACCCTCTGAACTCCCCAATGTCTTGAACACACTTTCAATCTCGGCATGGGCTGCCACTTGTTAGTCAAGAATCTGGCTGGTTCTTAGTAGGGAATGAGGGAATGAGGGCCCTACTAAGAACCAGCCAGGAATTCGTTCACAGAGAGCCGACGTCGGCGGCTGTAGCTTGAGTTGCTGCCAGCATGCAGATGGGTTTAGGGTTTAGGGTTTAGGGTTTAGGGTTTAGGGTTTAGGGTTTCGGGTTTAAAGTTTAGGGTTTAGGCCTGTCCAACAGTCTTGACGACAGAAACCTCAACACCTTCCCTCAAGGTACCAATCGGACAGAGGAACTGGTTCCTGCCCCTAAACCCTAGACCCGAAACCCCAATCCCTAAACCCTAACGGGTACCTGATAGGGCCGCTTGATACCTTAGTCGCGATGCGATTTTAGGGTTTAGGGTAAGACTTCAGCAGCTCCACGCCGAAAGCAGGGGAAAGGCTGAACCCGCAAGACTGCAACCTCAGCTCCCTGAGCTCTAAAAGTTGAAAGTCCTAGTAAGGCCTAGCCCTAAACCCTAAACCCTAAACCCTAAACCCAAAAATCCCTAGCCCTAAACCCTAAACCCCAAAATCCCAAAAACCTAAACCCTCTTCAGAGCCCGCCTTGCACTGCACAGAGATCACCACCCAGCCGGCAGGACATCGGGCCGTCCCATCCTGTCGCAGACATCCCGCTTCGTTTAGGGTTTAAGTTTCGGGTTTAGGGTTTAGGGTTTAGGGTTTAGGGTTTAGGGTTTAGGGTTTAGGGTTTGAGGGTGTTTAGGGATTCTTTTAAGATATTTTGGGGTGTTCTTAGGGTTTGTTACAGTAGATGTTTTTTATGTTTTTTTTTTAAATTTAGTTTTTTTGAAGTTTTTGGGTTTTTGAGGGTTACCCGGTTGTTTAGGGGTTTTTAAGGGGGTTTTTAGGATTCTAGGGTTTTTGGGGTTTTGGGGGTTAAGGATTTTTCGGGTTTAAGGGGCTTTGGGGGGTTTTGGGGGGTTTTGGGGCTTTTCGGCGTTTTAGGGGCTTTCGGGGTTTTAGGAGTTTGAGGGGTTCTGGGGGATTTAGGGTTTTAGAGCTTTAGGGTGTCCGAAGGCGCAGACTTCTTCTTTTCACTGTACTCTCAAACCCGAAACATCCCAGGGAATGTTTGGCCCCAGTTGCTTTTCCAGTAGCGGGTTTAGGGTTTTGGGGTTTGGGTTTAGGGTTCGAAGCATGAAGGAGCATGAAATGACAAAGAGGCTATGAAGCGTGCCTCAAGACTACACCGGAAACCCGTGGCCCAAAACCCTAAACCTCTACCAAAGCTTAGAACCCCTAAAAACCGAACATGCCGACTCTAGAATCTCTGGACCTTCAAACTCTAACGCCCTAAACCCTAAACCCTAAACGCTGAACCCTAAACCCTAAACTCTAAACCCGAAATCTTAAACCCTGAACCCTGAACCCTAAACCGTAACTATACCTTGCCTTGGACACCGTCAACGTCCGCACCTGCTCAGGGACGCGCACCAACCAGGGGCTCCATTTGGGGGCCCCCGGGCCCCGAGGGCCCCTCTTAGGGTTTAGGGTTTAGGGTTTAGGGTTTAGGGTTTAGGGTTTAGGGTTTAGGGTTTGGGGTTTGGGGTTTGGGGTTTTGAGGGTTCGGGGGCTTTTCTTAGGTTCCTTCATATTGGAACCCTGATAAACCCCTTCTACCCTGTAAAAAACTCGAGGGCCCATACTTCAGGAGCCTTTAAGGGATCATATATCTTCCCTCAGAGCTTTTGGGAGTTTAGGGTAATTCGGGTTTGGGGTTTTGGTTGGGGTTGTGGGATTGAGGGGTTGAGAGGTTTAGGAATCAGGGGCGTTGAAATTTAGAGGAGGTCTAGCTAAACCCTAAACGCCTGAACCCTAAACCCTAAACCTAAACCCTATCCCCTGACCCTAAACCCTTTACCCCAGGGATTAGGGGGGTTTAAGGGGTCTCGGTTTGCTCGCGCAGCTGGCCTGGTTCGTGTCAACCGAAAGTGCGGCTGCCAGGCAGCCACCTCCGAAAATAAAGACTTCGGCACTTCTTAAGAGCGCAAAATGGGGGGGGGGGGGGGGGGGCCTTTATAAATAGAACAGGGTTTAGCGTTTTAGTGTTTTAGGATTTAGGGATTAGGGCTACTATAGGAGCCTTCATGAATAGAACAGGGTTTAGTGTTCATGAGCTGTGCCAAAGGCCAAGCGTAGGATGAGATGAGGGGATGACGTACAAAGGAGACAGCATCTGCTATGATCCGCATGCAGAATGGCTCGGATGAGTATGGCACAGGCTTAGTTCCTAAACCCAAAGCCCTCCATAAACCCTAAACCCTAAACCCTAAACCCCAAACCCTAAACCCTAAGCCCTAAACCAAAGACCCTCCATCCCGAACCCTAAGCCCCTTGTTTCCTCGCAGTCCTTGCCGTGCGGTCCTACAGGTGTTTTGTGGAGTGGTTTGGGGAAAAGCCCCCCCCCCACAATATATATATATATATATATATATATATATATGTATATATATATATATACATGTATATTATTTATTATGTATATATATATACATAATCATAATATGATAATGATAATGCGATATTTCATTAATCATGAAAACAATAGAAACAGGCTGCAATTACAACTCTCCATAATAGCTCTCCATAATGAGTTGGGGGTGTGGGCCTAGGCTTTATCTTGCATAGCATCTAACTGTATGGAAACGTGGGGGCTTGACACACCGAAATTCTCTCAACAACCTGCGAACCTGAACGAACGTGATCGGGATTCCGGGTATCCCTAAACCCCAAACCGCGAACCCTATATAATTCCAGACGATCGCAGCCCGATACGCTGCAAAGAACCACAGCCAACTCATGGTAGGCGTGGAGCAAAGTAAGAGGCTCAAAAGCCTTCCCAAACCCTAAACCCGAAACTTGGGATGTTCCCCCTATACTAACGGTCCTTAATGGGGATTACAAAAGGGGTACTAATCCCGAATAAGGACTGTTAGCATAGGGGCAACACCCCAAGCCCAAGCCCTAAACCTCTGAACCATCCAAAAGCAACCGAGTTGCTCTGACCACCTTGCCAGGAGACAGCTTGAGGGGATAATTAGGATGTAGGCTTTGGTGGTGGTAGGGGGTTGGGGGGGGGGGGGGGGGTGGGGGGGGGTTGGGGGGGGTTGGGGGGGTGGGGGGGGTGGGGGGGGGTGGGGGGGGGTGGGGGGGGGGGGGGGGGGGGGGGGGGGGGGGTGGGGGGGGTGGGGGGTGCGGGGGGGGGGGGGGGGGGGTGGGGGGGGGGGGTGGGGGGGGGGGTGGGGGGGGGGTGGGGGGGGGGGGGGGGGGTGGTGGGGGGGGGGGGGTGGGGGGGGGGGTGGGGGGGGGGGGTGGGGATCTTTGACGACATGACAGGGTTTCGCACAAGACAAAATGCAAGAAAGCTACATAGTATATTAGCATACTCCAGAAACAACCATTCCCCATTCGGATTCCAAACCAGGGCAGGCTTGCCAGCAAATATTACTACGTCGGCTTCTAAGACAAAGTCGGCTTCCAAGCAAAAAGTGGTCCCGTCAAGACTCTGGCCCTAAACCCTAAACCCGAAGCCCTGAATCCTAAGCCGCAAACCCATGTGCCGCTGGCCTAGTTCCGGTTTAGGATTAGGGCTCCGGTTACCTGGGGCATGCACCCGAAATGGGCCCTTAACATTGGGCAACTACCTCCCTCAAAGGGCTTTGAAGTATGGGCCCTTAATCACGAGTCGCGCATGACAAGCTGCACTGGTACTCCATCTTCGTGCGAGTCTGAACCTGCGGCAAGAAACCCCTAAACACTGAACCCTAAACCCTAAAGCCTGAACCCTAAACCCTAAACCCTGCACCCTGAACTCTGAACCCTGAACCCTAACCTTCCTCAACCCGGGGCCCTGAACCCTAAAGGCGCTGTTTTTCGCGGAAGCTGATCTAACATATGGGGCCTTTTCCCAGCTTCCACATCATCTTCCCTCAAGTGTTTGGGGTTTAGGGTTTAGGGTCTAGGGTTCAGGCTACCCCAAGGCTACCCCTAGTAGGGCCCAAAATGTTCATCGACTCCCACAGGCTATCCACCATGAGCCACGTAGCCGAGCTCAAGTCGACTCCCCTATCAAGCACAACCCATGAAACCCTGTGTGAAACTAAGCTCTACAGCTCTGAGAGAATACCTTTAAGCCTTTACACCCGGAGCCCTGAGACCGTGACACCCTGAGTCCTAAAACTGCCAAGTGTTGGTGGCACCAACTGGATCCCTGAACCCTAAATCCTAAATCCTAAACCCAAAACCCTAAACCCTAAACCGTGGAATGAACAGTTGGCATCCTTCGGGTTTTTTTGGGTTAATAGGGAAACGCAGCCTAACACAAGAGGCAGCAAGGACCACTTAGGGTCCCTTGAGGGTTTAGGGTTTAGGGTTTGGGGTTTCGGATCCCCGCGAACCCCGCTGTAGAAGAACAAAAATGTGGTTTAGGGCTCAGAGTAGTTTAGGGAAGAGCATTACACAAGCAAACGCGCACGCAGAAATCTGTGTACCTGGGCATCAATTCATGACAGGGTGAAGCGGAGGCTCCCCCCATGACCCACCCCCTTGAGAAAAATGAACAGCGAACCCAAACCCAGGTCGGTGGCGAAAGCCCTCCCACCAAAGAGGGCCTGCAAACCAGAACCTACTTAGTATAGCTTTATGGCTTGTGGCGGGGGGGGGGGGGGGGTAACTACCTAACTCTTCTGGTGGCACTTTGCAAGTGGACTCTCCGGGCATTTTTGCCTAAGCCCTCCAGACCCAAGCCCTAGGAACCCCCAACTCCTTCTCAAGGGACTACAGGAGGGACCCTTACAAGGGACCTCAGGGGATATTTAGGGGCTACTTAGGTATATACAGGGCTTATGTAGGGGAACCAGG